ATGAATGCCTTTTATTGATGGCGCGGTGTAGAACTACCGATACTGGCTGCTCTGGAAATGCCCCTCTGTACGATTCCTCGACTTCGTAAAGGTCAAGGAGTCTGAGCGGGAACAGGCTCGCGAACTGTTTGGAACTGAGGAAGAGCCAACTGCTTTGGCTGCCAAGGTTCGTACTATTCTGTTCAACGACAAACAGACCGCCCCCAAAACTAACAATGTACGCAGATCCAAGGCATCAAGACCACCAACTTCAGCACCTCCGCCGATGGATCGGAAGCACCCTCCAAGCTCTCACGAATAAAGCTCACCGACGCTGAGAAGAAGCGATTGCAGGAGCGCATTAAGAAGGCTACCAGCCTGCAGGAGATCATTGCGCTGGAGAAGGAGCTCAACGAGGGACGTCTGCCTTCTGGTATTCACGGAGATGCTATGGAAGAATAATACTTCGCATGTATGGAGTAAGGCGACTGGCCGAGCAGGATATGGATGGGGTTTACAGAAAATATCATGATTATTCGTCTTTGGGGATATATATCCTCCTGCAATGACTATTTTTAGTTGATTCCGCCGCTTCCCCTAACATGTACTCTTGCGTTTCTGGCTATTTGGTCTGCACAGTGTTGAGCTAGACTATTCCACCACGCTTCGTCCTCAATGTCACTGTTGAGTATAGACGATAACTAGCCAGTCATGGACACATCTCCGTCCCGGTTTGCGCCACTGGCCTGTCGTACCTCCAGCTCCAATTGTGTATTGGGGTCGTTTTGGCCGTCATTAAGATGAGTAGAGGCACCCATTGAGCTGCCGTTGACGTGAGGCTTCTTGGTGCCGTTCGCCACGGGAAAGTTGATGGTCTGGTTGCTACCATTCTCCCCTTGAAGACGTGCTTGTGTTGCCTTGGCAGCGGCTTTGATATGCTTGTAGGGCACCGTCTTTGGCACAACGTCTTCGAGAAACTCGAGGTTGTCGTGATGTGCGACGGCGGAGGCTAACAGCGTTAAATAAAGCGTTGATAAAATGAAGAGGGGGTAGACTTACCGACATCCTTGTATTGGATGTTTCGACGGGGCTTGCGGTCTAGCTTGGCTTGGGTGTGTGATTCCTCTGCTAGATGCTGGACAAACATCTCCTACATAGTGTGAACACGGAGCCAAAAAGAACTAGGGAGAGGAAGCATACAGCAGCGAGTGTGATCACGAAAGCTGCATTGTTGGAGCAGAGGCTGATCTCGGGATCTTGTGCGATAATCTTCTTGACTCTTGAGACTAGATCTGTGTTAGGTCGTAGTTGTTTGAGCTTGATGGTTGAACTTACGCGGAAGTTGGTTTTGTCCTGTAGGCTCCTTACGAGGGGGAATAGCTGTGGTATTGTAAGGCATGATTGCTGACATGAAAAAAAGATTATTGGGTGTGTTGGATATGAGTCTGTGAGTGTTAGAATATTTGAGCCTGGTAGCTTTGATATTGGTCCGTGGTAGAGGTCAAAGTAGGAGAATACAGGGGTAAAACAAAGGCAAGTGGTGCTCACGAGAAAAACAGCGACAATTAAAAGTTCATTCGATACAAAACCCTTAAAGAGCGTAATCTCGGCATGATATCAAACAACAATAGAACATGGGTCACTAAAGGCCAAACTCACCTTGTTTGAATTATGCAGGTCAATAGCCAGAGACAGTCAATATCAGGGGCTAGGCAGCGCTGAGGGCTTGAATGGTTCAATAAAGATCAGGAAGAGGTAGGAAAATCTAGACCGAATTAGAAAGAAATTGATATGCTTAAGTTCAGTACTTACCAAGAATCGAAGTTCAGTGCTGTATATGGAATTGTCATCCAACAAGGTCAAGACATATGCGAAGAAAGTCGGATGAGACGCGGCGCTGCAACCACTAAACGCGGTTTTTGTGGCTAAAGCTTAAGCCACACGCTGGTGTCAGCCTCCCTACCGGCCATTCCATAGTAGTTACCTATGACACTTTCCATAGAACAACCTAACAAAAGAGAACTCACGGAGTAGAAACAGCGCTTTTGTTCGCCTTGATAGCATCTATAACTCTTCAATTCCCGGTTCCAAGTTGTGCGACTTCAGAACTATCCGCCGAGCGACAATGGTCGCCTTGTCCGAACCATGAACGTGCGACAATCATCCTTCAGCTTGGCCCCTCCTGGTCCTGAGAGACGTCCCTCAGTAGTATCACGTCTATCGTCCGTCTTTTCCAATGCAGATCGAGAAGCGGGGAACGCTACATCTACAGGGGCGGGCCTCATAGAGGAGGAGATTGCCGAGATTAAGAGATATGAAGTGAGTCGGATATGCGCCAGACGTGCCGTCTCCACGCTAACCAATGGGCTAGGACTTTACGACAATAGGTATGCGCATCTCACGACCGACCACGACTGACGATCCTCAATACTAATATATGTGGCAGACTGGGTTCAAGACGCCGCTCGCGAGCAAGCAAAGCGTAAGGTGCGGAGGAAGCAAGCAGCCGGCCTCTACGATAAAGGACAACCTGGCTGGCGATATCAGCTATGGAGGAGTTATGATGCGGCGCAAGCCTGGATTGTGGTTACCATCATTGGTGTTGCGATTGGGTTGAATGCGGCGCTTCTGAACATCATCACAGAATGGCTTTCCGATGTTAAGATGGGTTACTGTGAGACTGGGTTCTATCTAAACGAGAACTTTTGCTGTTGGGGAGAAGAGAATGGTACACTACCGTCCTCGCAATAGGTTGTTCAACGACACTAACAAGAGATAGGATGCGACCAATGGCACAGGTGGACAGGCTTTGAGCCTTTGAATTATTTTGTATACTTTGTCTTTGCGGTAAGTTGTCGTTTTGCCCATTGCGCCAGTATCTAACAATATAGACCCTGTTTGCTTGCGTCGCTGGCACCTTGGTCAAGTCATTTGCCCCATATGCCGCTGGTTCAGGTATTTCTGAGATCAAGTGTATTATTGCTGGGTTCGTTATGAAAGGTTTCCTTGGCTGGTGGACTCTTATCATCAAATCCATCTGTCTACCTTTGGCCATCGCATCTGGCCTGTCGGTTGGTAAAGAAGGTCCCAGCGTGCACTACGCCGTGTGTACAGGAAATGTCATCTCTCGACTCTTCGACAAGTATAAGCGCAATGCTTCCAAGACTAGGGAGTTCTTGAGCGCATCAGCCGCCGCTGGTGTTGCTGTTGCTTTCGGCAGTCCTATCGGTGGCGTTCTCTTTTCTCTTGAAGAGATGTCCAACCAGTTTCCTCTCAAGACTCTTTGGCGCAGTTACTTCTGCGCCTTGGTGGCGACGGCTGTCCTTGCTGCTATGAATCCCTTCCGAACCGGTCAGCTAGTCATGTTCCAAGTCGAGTATAAGAACGACTGGCATTTCTTTGAGTTACTTTTCTACGTCTTGATTGGTATCTTTGGTGGTCTCTATGGAGCTTTTGTGATCAAGTGGAATTTACGGGTTCAATCTTTCCGTAAGAGATATTTGAAGGATTATGCCGTCCTTGAGGCAACCCTCTTGGCAGCTGGTACTGCCATTATCGCTTACCCCAACGCTTTTTTGAGGATCGACATGACGGAGAGTATGGAGATGCTCTTCTCCGAATGCGGTCATGGAGAATCGTACCATGGCCTCTGCGAACCTGATAAGCGGTGGTGGAACATCATATCACTATTTCTGGCTACCTTCCTGCGACTATTCCTTGTCATCCTGTCTTATGGATGCAAGGTCCCGGCCGGTATCTTTGTTCCTTCCATGGCGATTGGCGCATCCTTTGGGAGAATGGTTGGTATTATTGTCCAGGCTATTCACGAGGCCAATCCTACCAGCGTCTTCTTCTCCGCATGCAAGCCAGACGAGCCTTGTATCACGCCCGGCACATATGCCCTGCTCGGCGCTGCCGCCGCCCTGAGCGGTATCATGCATATCACAATTTCTGTGGTGGTCATTATGTTTGAGCTAACAGGTGCTCTCAATTATATTCTCCCAACAATGATTGTTGTCGGAGTCACAAAGGCTGTCAGCGAGTTGTTTGGTAAGGGAGGTATTGCCGATAGGATGATATGGTTCAGTGGGATGCCGTTCCTTGACAGTAAAGAGGAACACAACTTCGGCGTGCCCGTTTCGGCAGTCATGAGAACCTCAGTTGTGTCTATGCCTGTTCACGGACTCACTTTGGGTGAAGTCCAGCGTCTTCTCGCCGACGATCGATATCAAGGCTTCCCCTTAGTCGAAGATAAGCACACCAAGGTTCTTATCGGCTACATCGGCAGTATAGAGTTGCGTTATGCTATCGACAAGATGAGCCGAACGTCACCTTTGTCCGAGACATCAAGGTGTACATTTGCACCATCATCGTCAAATCTGTCGACTACGTCCCTCCATGGCGACTCATCGCATCCAGCAACCCTCGACTTCAGCCGATATGTTGATTCAACGCCCGTCACAGCTCACCCAAGATTGCCCCTCGAAACCGTCATGGAGTTGTTCCAAAAGATCGGTCCTCGTGTTATCCTCATAGAATACCATGGCAAGCTCACCGGTCTCGTGACAGTCAAGGATTGCCTGAGATATCAGTTCAAGGTTGAAGCAGCCGAGAACCCCAAGGATAACCACCGTATCGAAGAAGGACAAGAGCAACTGTGGAACCTGCTCCTTAGAGCCGGCAACTGGTTCTCTTGCAGAGTTTCGAGATACTCTGGGGGTCGAATACGGTTAAGTAGCACCTCTGGCGATGAACGACCTATGGGTAGGGGGCAGATTCTGGATGGTGACGAAGAAGTACTGGATGAAGGCGTCGAGCTGGAGAGCCGACGGTAAATGTACGATTATATGCTTATCAGAGCTTGTGATATTTAACCTATAGAGATGCGCATAATACGCTGGCGTTTTGGGCCTTATATCTATTACTTTTATATAACCAAACACTTTTACTAAACCAAATAAGCTATGTGCATGCCCCAACATATCGTGTTTATGCGAACTCGAATGGTCCCCGGAGTAATATTATCGTGACCTCTCATCTGACACTCTTCCCAAATCAATGATATCTTCGTCATCATCCCTTCTCTGCTCTTCTTCATCTTCTGTTGGGATGGGCACATAACTTGGTCCCTCAGCCGCGGCAGCAGCACCAGCATCCTTAGCCTCATCTTTTCGTCCAACAATGACATTGCCTGCAACAAGGAGCGCAGCACCAGCCCACCACAGCGGAGGTAGAACCTCTGAGAAGATTAAAGCGCCCAGAAGAGCAGTAATCATAAAGTTGGTCGAAGTGTTTAGGATGGATACCTGTGTAGTAGATGTACCGCGTGCAAGAGCTTGTGTGAAGAGTGTCCACATCTGAGACCGTGAGTAGTTGCTATATCAATTTGAGTTTATGGGTATAACTTACCACACCATTGAATGTGAGGTTGAGGACAAAGAATGTCTATTAGGGTTAGTACAAGGTTCATCGACAGCTGAGAAAAACATACACCTCGAACTAGATATTCGATAATATCCTTGTGAGAAGAGAGACCGATGAGGCTAGCAATATCATTGGATAGGTTTGTGGTAAGTTGTGTAGTTGTCCTGAAGCAATGATCAGCTACAGTTGCCTACTGTGAATATAAAATGCCCTCTCAAGAGCTGCACTGTATTTCACATCTCCCAAGACTTACAATTTGGCAAAAACACCATTGAAAGCTGCGCAGGCACCACTAGCAACGGCAAAGAACATCCATTGCGACCGTAGGCTCCAATTACTAGGCATCGGCATTGTAGAAGCTGGTTCACTCTTCAAAGACGAAGGAGGAGAGGGTTCAGGTCCTGAAGCTGCTGCTACTGTTTGGCGTTTACGAACCATGTTTACCGGACAGTTCGGAAGCTTTAGCTTGGTGATGAGATCGTAACGGCCCCTGATGATGATGATTGAGGGACTTGGCAGGCTTGTTAGAGGCTGGGGAGTGGTCTTTTAGTGGGGGACAGGCCCCGGCTGAGAGGCGCTCCAAGGAACAAGCCTTATCACTCAAATCTGGGGAAATGAATTAAGATGCTGCATGCGACTTCAAGATTAGAGCTTAATTATTAAAGCAAAGATGAATCAAGATCAAAATATCATTCTTCAGGTATTCCTGTGTTAACGACACGTTCAACGAGCCTGCCTTGCGTGTGCTGAGCTAAGTATCTTATGCCCACCACCACCATCAACATTGCGTCCCTGTCGTGAAAAGAATAACCATATCCGAGACGCCACCCAATGCTAATAAACCAATCTTTCGGTAGTTGCCCAATCTTTGACCGTTGTATACCCGCATCTTCATAGCTCGTGATCTGCGATCGTTGGTCGTGAGGCTTGATCATCCCATCCTTGCCATTTTGGCCCTCGCTTCTTTTCCTCTGGGGATTTTGAAACAGTCTATTCGGATGATGTATCGTGTCGCATCTCCAGTTGTCTATTGTCCTTCACCAGGCTTCTTAGCATTGCAGCTGACAATCTTGACCTTGTTCGCTGTGATCGATTGGCTTCCGCTGTCCATCTTGAACGTCACATTCTTGATCAAGAAGGTCCAAACCTCATCGCAAAATCGGTATGTATCGAGGCTTCCCTGTGCGGGCAATGGCTGTAAGTAGTGTTTTAAACACGAGCGCCGAGCATCGGAGCTATGTGCTCACCTTGAACTGGAGACGGGCCTTGACATTCTTCTGGAGCGCCTCGGTGATGGCCTGATCGAAGTTGCCCAGAATCTTCATGGCCAGTTGGGGGTTGATGCGCTCTTCGCTGATAAGATCATCGAGTGTGTCTGTCAAAGCAAGACCAATGCTGGAAGGAACAATATTAGTTAAGCTGTCGCAAAGCAGCGTACGGCAGTTTCGCAATACCTGCTTCGTCGGTACAGCTCGTAGAATGACTGCGCTCCAGTAGCCATGGTTGCGATTTGATTTTGCGGGTATAAAAAGGTGTCTGGTTAATCGATTGTTAATTCGGCTTTAGATAGTTAATTGTTTGTCAAAGGCAAGGTTCATGAGATACGACTGCCTGTGGAGGGAGTTGCGCATAGCGGGAATGACTAATCACTTCGCACCGCCACAGTCAGCCTCGCATCATGTGACGTCGGTACAGTTTCATGCTGGCTGCTGGACACGCATCGCCTCTAGCTTCAAGGTAGTACCTCTAAACAGGAGCTCTTAGAAAGCTCAATAAGCCTACCGTCATCCGTCGCCAGTCGTCGTCAACAAATCAACTCCCCGGGTCGTCGATACCACAATCAAATTACCGTCGCAATGAGTCTATACTATGGAGTGGGCGGCATTGGGTCATTTCTGACCATCGTTGGAGGCTGTACGCGATACCCATCCCCGAAAGGCGTTGCATAGTTGGAGATTTGGTGTACTTTTGCTGACTATGACGCCGTATTATAGATATGCTCTTTACCGGCAGCGGTGAGTCCTTCGATGTCGGCGCGTTCCTCGAAGCCGTTTCGCCTTATACTTGGGCTACACTGGGCATCGCGCTTTGTATCGGTCTCTCTGTTGTTGGTGCTGCATGGTGCGTATACCCTCATCAATCTAACACACGGCTCTAACGTCAATTCCTCAGGGGTATCTTCATTACAGGCTCATCGATTCTCGGTGGTGGTGTTAAGGCCCCCCGTATCCGAACAAAGAATTTGATCTCCATTATCTTCTGTGAGGTCGTCGCCATCTACGGCGTCATCATGGCCATCGTCTTTTCCCAAAAGGTCGAAAACGTTGGAGGCGCCGAGCTCTACAGCGCCCAATCCTACTATACTGGATACGCCCTCTTCTGGTCTGGTATCACTGTCGGCATGTGCAACCTCATCTGCGGTGTTGCCGTTGGTATCAACGGAAGTGGTGCTGCTCTGGCCGATGCTGCCGATCCCACTCTGTACGTCATCTACCCTGCGATGCCGCATATGGCCTTCCCCTCTAACATCTCTACAGCTTCGTCAAGATCCTGGTCATCGAGATCTTTAGCTCAGTTCTGGGCTTGTTCGGTCTTATCATCGGCCTCCTGGTTTCCAGCAAGGCCCCTGCCTTTGGCGACAAGAAATAAACCCATCACCCGCATTAGAGATCCATCGAGCTCGGTAGCCTTGCTGTCGGCATCATCATTTGTGTTCCAAAAGAGACGGAACGTGTGCGTGCATTGCGCCAATAATACTTGGTCAGGCGTTTGGAAGATTGGCTCGGGAGGACGTGTTTTTGGCTGTATCAGTATCAGTACCAGTATCATTTGAAGACGAAGGTGTATATCACGATGTGGGATTTGAATTATGTGTTACTCAAGATTAGGATGTCATCGAGGCCTCTGCATTGTATGATTCGATCGGTTGCAAGTTGTTATGACGCTGAATACCTAGTTTGTGCCTTTTCGACCTTGATTATTATTGGTGTTTCCTAAGCAGCTTGGACGGCATTCAACAGCAGGACCTCAACCTTTGAGCCCTTCTCCAGCTTACCCTTCCCACTGGGCAGTATAACTAAGGCGTTGGCTGACCTCATACTGCCCACCTTGGAACTTCGTTGGCCGCCTGTGCTTGTTGCTGAAAGGAGGCCATCCTTGCCAACCGTCACCACAGCACGGTGATACTCGGGCCTAGGGTCCAGAGGGAAATCGTGCGAGATAACGGCTGGAACTCTTGGGAGGCCTGTAGTAGAGGCACCAGATAGCTTGTGGAGTGACGGAAGCACAAACAGGTGAAAGGTAACTAGAGCAGATGCCGGGTTACCAGGTAGTGAAAATATAGTCTTGGTAACCCGCTGTCCTGAGTTGTCCTTGACAGGGACCGTAGCAAAGGTAGTCGGCTTTCCAGGCTTCATGGCGACTCGACCAAAGTGGATCGTGCCACCCAGAGAACGCTCGATTGTCGGCTTGAGAAGATCCAATTCACCCATGGACACACCGCCAGTAGTAATGAGTAGGTCTGCGCGACGAAGTCCATCGCGAAGGGTCTCTTCTAGTGTGCCGGGCTTGTCACTGGCAATACCCAGATCCACAACCTCGTAGCCCCATTCTCTGGCGGCAGACATCAGAGTGATCCGGTTTGTATCACGGACTTCTCCCAGCTTCAAGTCTCCTGGACGATTGTACTCAACAATCTCGTCGCCTGTTGAAAGAACGGCTAACACTGGACGTTGGTATATCTTGGCCTCTGAAACCCCTACGGACGCGAGAAGACCAATCTCGCCACCGACACCACTGATGGTCTCACCCTTGTTAAGAATAACAGTGCCTTCCTTGACATCACTGCCGACTTCGCGGATGTTTTCGCCCTCCTTAACGCCCTCAACTTGAATTTCCACCTCCTTCTCCTCCTTTCCGTCATCTGACATGGTTTTGAGTACGGTATCCTCTACCATGACAACAGTAGTGGCACCTGGGGGCAAAGGGGCACCAGTAGTAATTCTTGCCAGCTCTCCTTCCTTTAAGGCGCCAATCTCCCCAGGTGCTGCGTGTGATATGGCTGTAACAGGGAATATTCCTTTCAGCTGGCCATCCTTGGGGACTACAACAGCATAGCCATCGACGATGCTGGCACGGAAAGCAGGCACGTTCTCCTTGGCTTCTACATCCTCGGCCAGAACTGAGTTCACAATTGACTGATCGACTGGAGCAGTGACAACCTCAGGTCCAGGGGTATGCTGTTCGATCAATGCCAGCGCTTCTTCAACTGGAAGCATAGGATATGGTGACTCCCGGTATCGACGTGAAGGTCCGAGTGTAGGGTCATTGGATAAGGTAGTTCCAGGCTTTGTATGTCGGACAAGATTCCCATGGTTGTGCCCATGCCCGTGGCCGTGATGATGGTGACCACATCCGTGGCCGGTGGCTGGGGGCAGATTGTTCTTACTTGAAAAGCCAGCTTCGGCCTCCAGTTTCTTAACTCCTCCAGAGTGAATGGCTCTGGAATTTCCACCTGCCGCTTGGATACATGCATGAGGCAGTGTCTTGATGATCGCCTGAAGGTTCTCCTTGGCGCCTTTGGGCGAGCCAGGTAGGGTAACGATGATGGTTGAGTTGCGCACTCCAGCGACTGGACGAGACATCATTGCAACTTTTTACTGTTAGTGTCAGTTGCAATAATAACAACAATGGCCACTCACATGGCGTGACTGTAAGAGAAGCAGCTAGCATGCCATGCACGAGGCCTGGTGCTTGTTTGTGCAATAGAGGGGTCACTGCCTGAACTAATTGTTACATTCATTTGTCTTAAGTCTCTTGAATTGAACTTACCTCAGGGGTGGAATCTCCAGTTGCAAAACCAGTTCCACCAGTTGTAACAACGAGGTTGATGCTATCCGAGCCATCAGTCCAGGCCGTTATCTGGCGTTGAATTGCAAGTACATCATCAGTAACAATTTTTGTATCATAAACCTCCCATTTTCCTTCTCCCTCGTCCTTCAGCACCTGTGTAAGTATAGGACCTGAAGCATCAGCAGAGGCATCTTTAGCTGCTGTCGTTGAGACAATAAGAAGAGCTGCCTTAAGAGGACCAGAAGCCATGGTCGTAGTGGATAATGGTGTGAGAATATTATTATCAACAGTTGAAAGTCTCCCTGATCACAATGACAGAATATTCAAGTCCTAATGAAAAGACACAAAATAAGAAGTCGTGGTGAGCATTTAACTAATAAATAATGATTGACTTCATCAACTGATAACAGCGGGGAAGTGAGCTCTCAGTTGCTGCGGCCCCACTAACCCGGCCATTGTGGAACTTGTTCACCCCGAATGTTAACTTCACGGACATGGAACCCAAATTCTTCATCCAGTCAAAAGCTTTTGTTTCCTTAATTCCTCAACTACAACCATCACCAGTCACACGACACATTCTTCTCTAGAAATCTTTCAAAATGGTGCGCATAAAAGAGAGATATCTTCTTGTCAACATCGTTTATCCGCCCGACCCTGCAAAGGCTGTAGAATCAAATTTGCCAGTCTCGGTTCTTCATCACCAGCCAACCATCGAAAAGCTGACTCCTGGCGCACTAATCAAGGGTATCAGAGCTGAAGTCGCGTCATTATACGGTGACTATGGATCTGGAGCATTGATAACCTGCTCTGGTGAGTAATACAATGCAATCTCTGAGCGCGTTGCATTATTGACATGGCTCTAGTGAAATACCTTTCGTTGGCAACCTCAACTTTTATTCTCAAATGTTCAAGAGCTCACTATCAACTGCTCTGGTCCACATTGACCTTTATGGATCATGTTCCTGTGAAAGACGGCAGATCGTGCATCTTTCGTGTTGTGCGCGTCAGTGGAACAATTCGCAAAGCTGAAGAGGAGGCTATTCGCCAGGCCAAGAGGCTTATTCTCGCCGCTCAAGAAGATACTAGCCCCAAATCTTCGTTCAGTTCGTTGCGGAACCAGGAAGACATGGTCCTCGCCATCAACGACGCGTCAAGCGATGAAGAAATGGACGATGCAGATGGCTGAACGGGTATCATTACTTTTTGACTACTTTGATCCCACTATCTTTGGGTACTGTCATGTCACCAAAATCAGGATCCATGCCACCTGTTGGGGCAGGAGCTGGTTGTGATTGCTCCATCTCCATGGCTTGTTCTTCCTGGATGCGAGCCTGTTCTTCTTCGGCCTCGCGCTCCATTTGATCATATTCCACTTTTTGGTCGACCCAGCGCTCTTGGATGTCCTGCACTTCCAACATGGACGATTCATTCCTCATGGCAACTGCCCAGACTGTATCATTGGCTCCTTCAGCACCACCAAAGACGTATCCGCCAGCACGGTCAATTACGCGAAGAATATGCATCATGCTCTTCTTGTTCTCGACAGCCAGGACCTCATAGCGCACCAGACCATAGCTCTCGATCAAATTTGCGATCGCTTCGTTGAGTTTGCCAAACTTTTCGCTCCTCAAAGCGGGCGACTCGGTCTCGAGATGGGGTGTCAAATATGTAAGGTCATCCACGTCTGTGTAGTAATCGAGGTTGAAAGGTAGTTCGTCATAGTCGGCAACTTTGTCGATCTTGGAGAGAATGTTGATGTGTGGCATATCCATCTGAATCATCGCGCGAAGAGAGAGGAGGACGTTCGAAACATATAGCGACGGTTGTGTGAGACAGAAGGAATCGGAGAGGTGGACACAAACAAGCTGTCAACAGTCAGTCAGTGCAATCTCGAACAGCGGAAGCGACCAACCCTGAACCCGATTTTCTGTAGCTTATAGAATATGTTTCGCAAAGAGTTGTGATGTGTATACAGTTCCACCTGTCCAGGACAATCGAAGAGAATGTAGTCTTCGCTGAACTCTTTCAATCCTTCTTCCAACCACTCAAAATTGTGTTCCAGTTCTTCCAAGGCATACAAGATACCACCGTTGGGTCCTAGTTTATCATCTTTCATAATCTCCTCGAGCTTAATCAGATTGCGAATGTCGAGTGCTGCAGGGTAGTTTGTATGATCGTTGGCTGGATCGAGATTGACAACGGAACAGGCTCGCCCAATGGCGCCCAGGAACTGGTGCACTTGATCGGTCAGCTACGTGAAAAACGGAGCGTTTGTCTCAAACTACTCACTGCCATCACAGTAGGTACTCTTTCCGCAGCCCGGGCTACCAAGAACAAGTTGCGCGAAAGGCATTTTGAGAGCTATCGCAAGATGTCGTTAAGCTCAAGAGCACATGATCAGGAAACAAAGTTGTGAATAGCGGTAGCTTGGTGAGACAGCCGACTTTTACCGTCTGTTTCCTGCACCGAATCACGATATTCTGCTCGTGATAACTGGGACGGTTGACGTAAAATAGGATATTATTTCTCCCAACCCAACTGTCGAAAACAATAAAAAGTGACGGCACAAACGGATACCTAGCCCCTCCATCCACTCCACTGGACTCATGCCCGCTCGGAACAAATTCAGTGGCCTCAGTCACTGAACCCTCAGTGAGGTGGGGTAGTATCATCCAGCCAATCCTCGGCTTCCAAGCTCCCCTGTAGCTCCGCACTCAATCACAAGCTAAAAGCTTGCGCGCGCAGGAAATGCAGTCACGCTTTCTTTTTTTCCTTTCCCATGTTCTTAAAACCTCGTCACCTCCAAATTTCTCCCTTCCTCCAAACTCCCTCCGCTTCTATGCGGTTCTTCTTTACAGGATGCAACGCTATGATGCCCAGCATCCTCATCATCAGCCATGGCATCTGATCCGTCAAATGCCGCTCAAATGGCCGGCGACGTCGCTGAGACTGTCGCCCATGCCCTCAGCTTCAGCAGCTCCCCTCCCTCCGCGATGAGCACAATGCCTGCCATCACTGTCCATGAGCCTTACACATGGTTTGGCCTCTTTGGGTGGCTGATTCTATCTATACTGCACATTACATCGACCATCCTTTATTGGGTGATCCGGATCGCGACTATCAATGTCCCTTCCTTTTTATTCCACTTGTTCTCCACAAGCTGGACGGTCACCATGAATGCCACCACGCTGTATGTCGTCCGATGTACTCTGTTGGCCTTCAACTCTAACAGTCGTGTAGCATGTTTATCATGGCAGCTGTCGTGTCGGCCGTCAGTTGGGTTGTGAGATATCGCATCCTCAACATGTACTCTCGTTTGCCTCCAGAGCCCCAGCGCAAAGAGCCGGAGATCGACCTTTTCCCAGACACTCACGAGGGGGGTTCCAAGTCGGGCTTGGCAAACTATCTGGACGAGTTCCTGAGTGCTATCAAGATCTTTGGCTACCTGGAGCGACCTGTCTTTCATGAGTTGACTAGAAGCATGCAAACAAGGAAACTCATTGCCGGAGAAACTATCAACCTTGAAGAAGAAAAAGGCTTCTGTATTGTCGTCGATGGATTGGTTGAGATCTTTGTCAAGTCAAACCGAAGCCCACGTGCCGCCGCTGCCTCTCGAGGACACCTTGATTTGGATTCGTCCGATGAGGATGATGACGCTCCCGGTCAACAGACATATCAGCTTTTGACAGAAGTTCGCAATGGAGCCCCCATGTCGTCGCTGTTCTCTATCATGTCTCTTTTTACAGAGGATGTTGGACTGCGGCCAAACGAAGAAAACGAGGATCCTTCTTTGCATCCCGCCAAAAGTAGTGGACTTCGTCACCCGACTTTTGAGAAGCCGATCAATGTGTCTATGCCTGGCACGCCTGAAGATCATGATGGCTTTGAAGCATATGAGAAGAAGCCCGAAGGCCTTGGTGTTTCTGGTATAGAAACCGAACAAGCTTCCATTCCACCAATCTCACTGGATGGCTCTACTCCCCCTCCTTCCCGGCCCACCAGGCCGCCTATGCCATCAAGAGCAACATCCGGCTCGGCGCATCCAGACATCATTGCGCGCGCAACTGTTGATACTACGATTGCTATCATTCCCGCGAGTGCTTTCAGAAGGCTTATCAAAATCTATCCCAAGGCTACTGCACACATCGTCCACGTCATCCTCTCCCGATTCCAGAGAGTCACTCTTGCCCAGGCTTTTAACTATCTGGGCTTGACCAGCGAGGTCCTGCAGACGGAGAAGAGCATGATCAAGTATACTATGTGCCAGCTCCCCAACATCTTACGAGGCGATGCCCTGGAGCGCCTTAAGGAGAAGTTTAAACGGGAGCGTGAACGTAGCGAGGAGGAAGATGACACGAAGGGCATTGCACTGCATAACTCGGCATCTACTCACCGGCGGCGGTCTAGCACCGGACTGCGGAAGGAGGCTATGTTGCAGTCAATGACAAAACTGAGAGGGACTCCAGTTGTCACCAGTACTATCGCGCCACCTCGTGAACGAGCTTCGCCTCATACCCCGAGTCCCGGAGACTTACTGTCTAACACACAGTTGTCTGGACGTGGCACTTCGCGCGTTTCTCCAACAGATCAACGAGCTGTCTCGGGAGCTTCGATTAGACGGCAAGGTGTCAACCCAAAGGATGATCGGTTTTTTAACGACCCCTTCGACTCAAGGAGGCTGGGTCGCATGACGTTGGATCCACGAGAAACTGTCGATGAAGACAACCTCTTCCGTGCCTCCATCCTGGAATGCATGTTCAAGTCACTCGGACTGGATACCAATGGAAGTGTGTCCCGCGAGCCGGAGTCTATGGAGGGCTCCCCCAAGCTGGTTTCGGTCGATCATCGGCGGTCAAGATTCTACAACCAGAACAATGCCTTTGGTTTCATGCCTCCCTACGATGGCTCTGTCGATGGCGAGACGGAATCGGTGACATCAAACGGGACTGCCCTGCACGCTCCTGTCAGTGCCCACAACCTTGCCAACGATATGAAAGACGAGGTTGAGATCGTGTTTTTCCCCAAGGGCTCGGTTCTTGTAGAACAGGGCGAGCGAAACCCTGGTCTGTACTATGTCGTTGATGGGTTCCTGGACATTGGCACGAGTAGCGAGAGTGATGCTCACAACATCCTCAAGTCTAGCGGGTTTAGCAAATCGCAGCAAGATCAATCATCGCCTGATCCGTCTGACATGGGATCGTTTCCCACGCTGGCAAGGACTGAAGCTGCACGAGATCAAGCCGAGGCCGAGACACAACAGTCAGCCTCAAAGAAGCCCCGTCGCAGCATAGCTTTAGTCAAGCCCGGTGGACTAGCTGGCTACATTGGGAGTGTTTCCTCATACCGATCCTTTATCGATGTTGTGGCCAAGACCGATGTGTACGTGGGCTTTTTGCCTCGAGCTTCACTCGAGCGCATTGTGGACCGCTATCCAATCGTTCTTCTCACAATGGCCAAGCGATTGACCAATATTCTGCCACGCTTGATCCTGCACATTGACTTTGCTCTGGAATGGGTTCAAGTCAATGCTGGTCAGGTTCTCTTTCATGAAGCCGATGAAAGCGAAGCCATTTACATCGTTCTCAATGGGCGCTTGCGAATGGTCCAAGAACGCAAGGGTGGCAGTGGTGGTGTCACCGCTTTGGCTGAGTATGGTCAAGGTGACAGTGTCGGTGAACTCGAGGTGCTTACGGAGACCGTTCGCCCAGGCACTCTGCACGCTATTCGAGACACTGAGTTGGTAAAATTCCCTCGCACGCTGTTCAACAGCTTGGCACAGGAACACCCAAACATCACGATCAAGATCTCAAAGATCATCGCATCAAGAATGAGGGCAATTGTTGATGACACATCCAAGTTTTCCTCCAAGGACGCCAGTGCTAGCCCCAAGACATTGATGCGAAAGTCAAACATGAATCTTCGAACAGTGGCTATCCTTCCTGTCACGGCTGGCGTACCTGTTGTTGAGTTTGGAAATCGTCTCATGAACGCACTCGCTCAAGTTGGCCCAGCAAATGGTGCCACTTCCCTCAACCAGGCTGCTATTCTCAACCATCTTGGCAAGCATGCCTTCAACAAGATGGGAAAGCTCAGGCTCTCTCAATATCTTGCTGACTTGGAAGAGAAATACGGCCTGGTTGTTTATGTTGCAGGTAAGCAGCGACTGTTTTGTTTTTTCTTTCAGCAACTCCTTTCATGATGATAAAATCACACATAGACTCCAGAGGCAAAGCCGATGTTGGTTCTATAACTCTAATTTTTTCCTGACTATGCCACATTACAAAACATTTTTGAACTCTTTTATAGGCGCTGTAAGCTAACATCATTGTTCACTAGATACCAATGTCAACTCCCCATGGACGCAGACTTGTATCACGCAAGCAGATAGCATTCTCTTGGTGGGCCTCGCAGAAGGATCACCGGCAATTGGTGAGTACGAGCGCTTCATGCTTGGCATGAAGTCTACGGCTAGAAAGGTTCTGGTTTTGCTGCATGCCGAACGTTACTCTCGGCCTGGTCTCACCCGTGCTTGGCTCCAGAATCGCATGTGGATTAATGGAGGTCATTGTCACATCCAAATGGCCTTCAGGACAAACCAGATGCCAGTGCATCCTCCGAAGAAACTCGGCCAAGCACTCAAGGAGCGTGTGCAGGTGTTACAGGCCGAGATACAGAAATATACCTCTCGCAAGGTGCATCATACTCCGTACTATTCGCCTGATTCGCCTTTCAAGGGTGATTTCCACCGCCTGGCACGACGGCTGTGTGGCAAATCAATTGGACTTGTACTTGGCGGAGGCGGTGCACGAGGTATTACCCAAATCGGTATCATCCGCGCCATGGAAGAAGCTGGAATTCCTATTGATCTGATTGGAGGAACTTCAATCGGTGCCTTTGTCGGAGCCCTCTATGCTCGCCATGCGGATGTTGTGCCCATGTTTGGATTCGCCAAAAAGTTTGCTGGTCGCATGGCCAGTCTTTGGCGTTTTGCTCTGGATTTGACCTATCCCTCCGCCTCGTACACTACGGGACACGAGTTCAACCGTGGCATTTTCAAAGCACTCGGTGACACCCAAATGGAAGACTTCTGGCTTGAGTACTACTGCAACACAACTAACATCAGTAAGAGTCGGGCGGAGTTTCATACCAGTGGTTATGCCTGGAGGTATATCCGCGCCTCCATGTCCCTTGCCGGTTTGCTTCCACCTCTGTGCGACGAGGGCAGTATGCTACTTGATGGTGGCTACATTGACAACTTGACTGTGTCGCACATGAAAGGCCTTGGTGTTGACATAATCTTTGCTATCGACGTAGGTGCCTTGGATGATGATACACCGCAAACATATGGTGACT